TCCGGTTTTGGCAAAATTAAAAATTTTTATTCATATACTTTTAACTTATTCTTTGATGAACAAGATATACTGTACTTTGTGTTCAAAATAAGTAAGTTGGATGGTGTTAACAAATAATAAAACATTAGAAAGATATTGTATTCTCTGAATAGAGACTCATCATCAGAAACTGAGGCCCTCAAACATTTCACTTGTTGTACCTCAAAAAAGAATCTGAAATATCATGTACCCTCTTGCTCATTTTTGGAGTTGACTTAATGTTAAAATTGTAAGTTTAAGTTGTTGCAAAAAATAAAAGTTCCAACTTACAGGCAAACGTCCGGGACGTTGCAGGGTAGTTCCAGACAATCACAGTAAAGTGAGTTGTAGTCTTTTTGCTGGTGGCGTGTCTTACCTTCACTTTTTAGAAATCACAGCGTCTGTGAAGTGCAAGAAAGCAGAGAGAGGCCTGTACCAAAAACAGTGACCTTCAGAAAGAAAACTGCTGTGGTGTTCTTGTAGCAGTATTCAACTTATTTGCTATTTTCCATCATTTAAAAATATATAACCAAATCCCTAAATCTAAAATTTTAAATGGTTCCTTTTTTGAATTTGAGTTTCTACTCTACACCCATGCTAATTTAATATATTGTTTGGAAATGGTTTTGCTGATTACTCTATCATTTAAGTTAGCAATGAAAATATATACAGATCGAGATTAATTTGTAGAAGTTTCTTATATTCTTATGTCTCTAAGAGTTGTATTTCTTCTGGGTTGAATTTTCATTACCATTACTATTAACACAGTATCCTAAATTTATTGTGTGATTTTATAAATAATCACTAAACCTAGTAAAAATGGTTTGAGGATTTTTCCAAAAATTAAAGTCTTGGTTAAAACAACAACAAAAGCGTACTTACAGGTCGCCCTGTGCTGTCGAGGGGGCAGCAATGAGCATTACTTTCAAACCAGCACCCTGGGCTCGGGTGGGGGTGGGGGGACATCCACATCTCCTCCAGTGCTGTTGTAGTTACGTTTCTTTGGAATATCAAGACGGGCTCTTCATTGGTACAGCCTAGAAGAAGTCCAGAGCGCCCTGCAGAGCAAAGAGACAAACTACCTCAGGATGACCGAGGAAGTGGAACGAACCAGAACGTTGGAGTCTAAAGCGTTCCAAGAGAAGGAACAGCTGAGGTCAAAGCTGGAAGAATTCTATGAAGAAAGGGAGAGGACACTCCAGGTGCGTGTGTGGTCCTGTGCCTGGGCCGCGTGAATCCACACGACCAACCAGAGAGAGACTCTGGTCTGGTGTCCTGTGGGTCAGACCTGCTGTCGCACAGCAGCTGTCTGTGTGTCTGTCTCCTGTGCGCTCTCGGGCATGGAGTGATGTTACTTTTTAAAAAACGAGCAGCAGCTCACTGTCTCCTCCCGGGTTGACTGCCTGCAGGAGATGGAGATGTTGAGGAAGCAGGTGGAGTTTCTCGCTGAGGAAAATGGCAAGTTGCTGGGTCACCAGAACCCAAACCAGAAGATCCACTACGTGGTGCGGCTGAAGAGGGAGAACGTCCGGCTCGCTGAGGTAGCTGTTCTGAATACCTGCCTGTTGCTTAAATGGTTGCTTAATTAACATTTAATTTAATAATCAAATCACTTACCTGCTTTCTTTAGGGAACTTCCTGAAAATCAAAACCGTTCATGCCTTGCTATTCTAAGGATAATTCAGTCATTTGTCATCCACATCACATTTCTGTTTAACGTTGAGAAGTTTACAAATTTAAAAATTGTAGTTTTAACTTGAAATACAAACTTAATGAATGCCAAGTATAACTCCTCTTGTAAGATTTAGATCCTTACTTTTTTTTTCTTTTCCTATTTAAAAAAAAATTACCAGGAAACGGAAAAATTGCGTGCTGAAAATGTATTTTTAAGAGAAATGAAAAAGAGTTTCTGATGAGCATCTGCACCCGTCCACGTCTGGTGGCAGTCTGCCGTCTGCTGCGTGAGGGACAGTCCGCTGCGGGGCTCACACCCACTGAGAACTCCCGGGAAACCCTTTTCCTCTTAAAATAAAGTCTGTCACTGATGTTCCAGTGGGTGCTGGTCAGGCCCCGTGTCCCTGATCTCCCTGAGTCTTGCGTCAGAAGCTCCCACAATAGTCAGTGTCCCCAAAACTTGCAGTGGGGGTCATGGCTGATTGTGCAGTGTGTGTACATAGCAAACTTGTTAATAGAGTTTATTTTTATATTCCTACTTGAAGAATTTTCATGCACATTTTTATGACTGCAAACATGCCATTTTTCAAAATGTAAATCTTTTTCAAATAAACAGTTCAATAAGGAAGCTCGCATGGTTCATTCTCGTGGTCATGCAACATAAACTTAATGTGCACCCACTATATGCCAGGCGCTGGTCATTTCTGAACACCTGGTTCATTTCACCCCTGCCCTCTCGGGACTTCTGTGTATCAGCACTTGGTGCCTTTTGATAGCAAATAATATTCCATTGCATGGATGTGCCACGTTTTATTCATTCGCCATTTCAAGGACATTTGAACTCTTTGTAGTTTGGGAGTATGGTGAGGAATGCTGCCATAAATCCAAGTGTAAGTCTTGGTGTGGATCTACATTTCTTACCTCTTGCGTAGACACTGGGAGTAGGATTGCTAGGTCACGTGGTAAGCGTGTGTTTAACTTTGAAAGACATTGCCTGCTTTCCAAATGCACTGTGGCTGCCCGTTTCCCGTTCCCACCAGCATGTGCTCCAGTCTCTCCACGTCTACACCAACATGGGCACGCGGGGTTTGCACTCTGACCATCCTGATGGGTGTGTACTGGGATACACTTCCAGCTCCCTAACGACTGATGACATTGAACATTTACATATTATGGAAATAGGACTCGGCAATAAAAAAGATAGACACATGGATAAACCTTTAAAAAATGCTAAGTGAAAAGCCAGACTTAAAAGACCGCAGCGTGTGTGATTCCATATAAGTGAAATGTCCAGAAAAGGCAACATCTTTGTGGTAGAAAGCAAATGATTGGTTGCCTGGGGGTGGAAATGACCCAATGGGCACAAGGGAACTTTTTGATACGGTGGAAATGTTTTAAAACTGGGTTAATTTAATGGTTTGTAAGTCCTACTTCAGTAAAGCTAAAACAAACAAACAAACAAAAAAAAAACCCCACAAATCTAATTCATAGTTGAACTATCAAGTAGTAAATCCCTAGAGCCAGACACAGGAGAGGCTCAGTGGGAGGTGGGAAGGGGGCCTGGGGCTGACGGGGAGGTGGGAGAAGGTGCAGGGTTGGGTCTTGTTACCTGTGAGTTCCCGAAGGTGGCTGCAACACATCTCAAACTGGGGGGCTTCAAACAACAGAAACCTATGCTCCCACCGTCTGGAGGCTGGAAGTCCAAAATCAGGGCGTTGCTAACGCTGCGTCTGAGGGCTGCGGGGAGTGTGTTCTCTGCGTATTGGTGTGGTGGTGCCAGCAGTGCTTGGTGTTCTTGGCTTGTATATTGCATCGCTCCAATCTCAGCCACTGTGGTCACATGGCATTCTCTCCGATGTCTCTGGTTCTTCTAATAAGGACATTGTTTAGATTAGGGCTCACCCTAATAACCTCGTCTTGATTTGATCACATCTGTAGTGACCCAGTTCCAAATAAGGTCACATTCACAGGTGCTAAGGGGTCAAAACTTCAACATACCTTTTGGGGGAATACAATTCAGCCCATAACATTACTCATAGCAAAGAAAGAGATAAAGCCTTATCGCGAGGGACAGGGAGTTAGAACTGAGATTTCTGCAACACCCACTGAGTGCTGGGATTATAGTCATCCTGGCAGACATCATTGACTGACTGCCTCTTACACATCCCCTACTGGAGACTGAGCTCAAAACCCAGCTGTCGAACCCATGACTTCCTGGTTCATACATTGGTGGACGCTCAACACAGCCACACCAGCTGTGCTGAATCATGTTTTTTTTTTAAGATATATTTTTATTGACTTTAGAGAGGGAGGGAGAGAGAAACATCAATGATGACAGAGAACCACTGATTGGCTGCTTTCTGCATGTCCCGCCCACTGGGGATTGAGCCTGCAATCCAGCTTGTGCCCCTGACCAGAATCGCACCTGGGACCCTACAGTCCGCAGGCCAATGCTCTATCCACTGAGCCAAACTGGCTAGGGCTGAGTCATGTTTTTTGAAAGTCCCATACTTATATGTAAACTTTTAAAACGTGTGCTATATGTAAAACTAAATATGCATAGAGTAAAGGTACTCTTTAACATGATTTTCCTGGAGAGTCCTTCACACATTTCAATACTTTATTTTCAAAGAAATACGACTTCTTAAAGGAAAATGTTTTAAACATCTTTCAGTGCACAGGAAATTAGGAGGAATGTTAATCCTGATTGTCTTATCTGAGTGGAGTGACTGTGAATGACATCTTTTCTAAATTTCCTGCAATGAGCAGTATACATCCATCTGGGTCTTGCCCCAAACCCTCCCCTGAGCCGGCTTCTTGCTGAATCTGGCGGCCTCTAGCGCCCTCTGCGGAAGCATCTCTCCATTTTGCGTTTATCAGTCTGGAGAGAGCAGGTGAATCTGATTTTGATTCCGTGGGGGTGGGGCCGGGCCTGGGATTCGACGTTTTTAATAAATGATCCATGGGAAGTGGATGCCGCACACACCCAGTGGCAGGACTAGCTGCGAATTCTACAACCCGGGGACCACCGAGTGGGCCTCAGGCATGGGTTGGGCGCGCTCGGATAAACCTAAACCTACCGCTAGAGGGCGCCCTGCGCCCGAGGGGCCCGCTGGGGCTCCGGCCTGGTGGCCCCGCCCCTCAGGGCCCGCCCCTCAGGGCCCCGCCCCTGCGAGGTTCTTGAAGGACTCGAATTGGGCTCCTCACTTACGTGACGCTGCGTCACGTGAGGCCACCGTCCAATCACGGCGCGCGCTCGGCCCGCCACCGGCTGACACCGCGTGCGCGGGCACCGTGGCGGGGACACCATGGTCACCCACCCCGACTTCCCCGCGGCGTCGCCCCCGCACCTCCAGGCCGGGGCGGCGCGGCGCCGTTTCTGGGGCGTCCTCAGCTGCCTGTGGGCCGGCGTGTTCGGGGCCCTGGCCGCCGCCGCCGCCAAGCTGGCCTTCGGCAGCAAGGTGGAGCCCGGGGCGCGGCCGGCGGGCGGTCCGGGCGGCGGAGGGGCGCTGCGGGCTCCGGGTTGGCGGGGGCGCGGGGCGCCGCTTCACCCCATGGGTCACCCCCGTGGGCGGCAAGACCCGCCGGTGCCTACGCCGGCCCCCCTTGGCCAGCTGGCTCGCGGGAAGACGCCCACCTCCTCCATCACTCTGCCCCCTTGTGCCCGAACGTTTCTCTCCACGGGACTCGAGGTGGGAAGCCTGTTGCCCGTCCCTTTGCTCCGTGATTAACGGGGGTTCCTGCTGCCGGGAGATGGGGGGGCTTGGGAGACGCTCTGGACTTCCCCGAGGTTGACATCTTTTAAACTGCCTCCCCATGCCTGCTAACGGGCACCTCTTGGCTTCGCCCACCCCGAATCTGCAGCCCTGCGTTAGAACCTGACCTGGACCAGGGGCGGGTTGATTCTGAAGATTTCAGCCTATTTAGGGCTAATCCAGTGGGAGCTGCCAGGGTTAAGGGGTGCAGTTCTTGGTGTAAGCAGTCCAAGATGAGATGAGTGCCTCTAGGAGGCAGGAGGTTTTCTGCTCTTTCCAATTGTGCCATAGGCCTTCATAACCTTTTTAAAATATGTATATTTTACAGAAAGGGAGGGAGAGGGACAGAATTAGAAACATCGATGAGAGAGAGACATCGATCAGCTGCCTCCTGTACACCTCTTATTGGGGATGTGCCCACAACCAAGATCCATGCCCTTGACAGGAATCGAACCTGGGACCTTTCAGTCTGCAAGTGACGCTCTATCCACTGAGCCACAGGCTGCCACTGGCATGTACAGCGCTTTTGTACAGTGTACAAAGAAACCCTTCCCTCAAGACACTATGTATTCAGCTGCTGGAAAGCTGTTATGAGAAATGAGTGTGGGGCTTAAGCAGGCAAGTTGCTACCTTGAAACCAAGCAAGGGGGTCTGCATAGCCTTATGCAGGTGGTTTGTATTCTCAAGGCTGTTGCCTTTTAGAAAAAGAGACAAAATGGCCAGCTCTCCACGCGATGCCTGGGATCCCAGTCCAATGGCGGTGGTGTAGGTGGTTTTCCGTGGGCGGGGCTGTGTCCTGGTTAAGATGGCGGAGCCACACCGCTGGGTTGGAATCCTGGCAGCTCCTATCAGCTGTGGCACTGAGGCGAGTTACTTAATGCCTCAGGTTCTTTATCTGTGAAATGAAGCTAAGGAGTAAACGAGAAAGCACTTAAAGTACTTAGTGCAGGGCAGGCACAGAGGAAAAGCTCCAGGATGCCCAGTGGGACCAGCCTGAGTGGGACGTAGCGGGCACAGAAGGGGAGAGACATAACTAGCTCGTGCTTTGCCTGACCCTGGGCAGTGAGGGCTCTGTCCCTGGGGTACCCCTGCTACAGACCACATAATAACGACTGGCCCTCGGGGCCTGGACTTCCAGCAGTGGCCACTGCAGGCCGACCAAACACCTGGTGCTCTAAGGAAATGCTGGTGATGGATTAGCGTTTTCTGCCAAGGCCACGTGGCCGATAAGATGGCCAAAAAGTGTCACCTCTGGATTTGTGTCCGCTGTCCAGGGGGGTGCTGCCCGCGGAGGGCTGAGCCCACAGGGAAGCTGAGGGTCCCCTGGGCTGTGGCGGGGTCTCAGGAGGGGCCCTAGGGGTGCTGCGAGGGGCGCTGCTGGGTGCCGGCTGCCGTGACACCTCCTCCTGCAGGCGCACGTGATCACCTGCGCCTTGGGCATCTTGGTGACGGCGACCGCCAACTCTCTGATGTGGACCTTCTTCAGCCGCGGCCTCAGTTTCTCCGTGACTTCCGCCACTGCGTCTGTCACGGTGACTTTTTCGAACATCCTCAGCTCGGTGAGCAGCCTGAGGGTCCGGTCCCCCCACCTCAAACTTGGGTTCTGGGTGGGTTATCCTTGGGCAGCCCTGCTTTCCCACACAGGAGCAAGGCCGGGGACCCAAAGCAGAGGTTGGGCCGTGGCTGTTCCTCTCCACTCGCAAACCAGGGAATTCTCCAGCGGTCCAGCCAGCCTGCCTGCTGCTCGTCCTCATCCTGGTCTGCCCACTGTCGGGTCTGCACCGTCCAGCATGAGATGCCAGGGTCTGGGTTCCTCTCTCTGGTGGCCTGGGGTCAGCAGGTGCGCGGGGAGGCAGGCGGCCAGCTCAGGCACCAGCTGCACACCGGCCTCGCTGTGGTCTCGGCTGGTTTGTGCACTTTGCCGGGGTCCAGTGCCGTGAGCTAGGTTCCCTCTCACCTCTGTAGGTGAGACCAAAATGGGTCAAGTGACCTCACGGCAGTGGTTTGAGCCCAAGACTTGGGGCTCTGGACCTCTCCTCCCCCCCAGGGCAGTCAGCTCCCCGGGACGAGGCTGTGCCCAGCCGCCGGGCTGGGCCTCACAGCTGTCTGTCCCGCAGGCCGCCCTGGGCTTTGTGTTGTACGGAGAGAGCCAGGAGGCGCTGTGGTGGGGCGGCGTGCTCCTCATCCTCTGCGGACTCATCCTCGTCCACAGGAAGGACCTTCCGCGCAAGCAGCAGTAGAGGCATTGGCCGGTGGCCAGCTGGAGAGACGGCGATGGCGGCTCAGGCTCGGGCTGGCGTGTGGGGCCTGTTTCCCACGGCGATCGGGGTGCAGCCTCTGACCGGCAGCCAGAGGGAGCCGCCGCCGAGGGCAGCAGGCCTGTGACCCAGCTCCGGCTCTGGGGGGGAACCGCGGCGCAGCGGCCTCTGCCCCAGCATCTGGCTGCCTGGTGCTCCGATCCTCACCGCCAGGCCCACCCGGGGGCCCAGCGGGAGCTGGACTGGAACCAGCTGTCACCGTAGCCTGGTGGCCCACGTCACGTGACACGCCGGGGACTGGTGGGACTCGGACAACTCTGTGTCGATGCGTCGGGCTGGCTGTGCCATATCACAGGAGGAGGAAGACTGGATTAATGCTTTCTTGTACGTTAAAACTCCCAGGTGTGGAATCCTAATTCCTTCCCACACTCATTTTTCTTCCCTGAGCTTCTGGAGTCGGAGGGAGCAGCCAGGACGAGCTGCAGCGCCCGGAGTGGTTCTAGCCCTCACCTCGCCCGGCCTGGCCCGGCTGCGGGCACAGCTTCTTCCGACGTCCCCCGGCCGGCCCTTCCGGCCAGGGAGGTCCTCACGGAGACAAGCTTGAGCTCGCTTTGGGGGCCTGGTGTTATTTTACTGATCAGGGCCTTTTTCTCCATCCATGGCTCCTGCTGCTTGGGACCTGGCCCTTGCCGCCTCCTCAACACCCGGGTTGAGCCAGGCACTCCTGTGTTGAGAAGTCAGGGAGACGGGTGAACAGACAGCAGTGAGGTAGGATAACTGGGCAAGTGTGGTGTCCCCAGGCATCACTCCAGAAAAGCAGCGGCCGCCCAGGCCGGTGCTGAGGGCCGAGGGAGAGGAGGACAGAGAGGCGGCCACTGGCCTGGGGCAGGGAGAGCGATGGCAGCGGCAGCTTGGAGGAGGGTGGCCACAGCCTGAGCAGATCGAGTTCGTGAGGGAATGGAGGGTCCTCCACTGCTGCCGGAAAAGTCCACCCCCGTTCGTGGTAAAAATACGCAGCAAACTCGGAGTAGAAGGAAACGGAATATGACCAAGGCCACCCCAGTGAGTGTCATCCCCGAGGCCGGGAACAGGCAGGGGCCCGCTTTCACCACTCCCCCGCGTGTGACTGCAGTTCTCACCAGAAAGAGAGGACGAAGTACATTATCTGCTCAGAGGTGACAGATCTTTTAGGCAGCGGGCGCTGAAGGAGCGGGCGCCCCATTCCTCAGGAGCCTGGGGGGCCCAGGGAGGGAGACCCCGAGTCATCCTGGCAGGAGGCGCCTCCCGGAGCAGCCGCAAGCTGTTCTCTGTCCTCAGACTTGCTCAGAGGATCCATGTGCTTCAATTAAACGGATGCTCCAAGGACGGTCCCCTGGGTCTGTGTTCTTTCTCAGCCTCTTATGCTGGGGCAGGTGGGCATGTGGGGAGCCATCCAGTGCCCTCCACTCCCCAGGCCCAGGGACCCCCCTCTCCGAGGGGTTGGGCTTCATTGGGGCCTGTTCAGGACACTCGGCCCCTCCTGACGATATACACCTGGCAGAGGCATGTGTGTGGGTCGAAGGTTATTTTGTGTCATTTACACGACGTTCAGGGGTGGTGGGCTGGGCTCTAAATTTAAAAACCTTTGCCCTACTCCAGTGACCGGCAAACTCATTAGTCAACAGAGCCAGACATCAACAGTACGACGACTGAAATTTCTTTGGAGAGCCACATTTTTTAAACTTATAATGCACTTCTTCAAAACAGACTCTCCCAGGCCGTGGTATTTTGTGGAAGAGCCACGTGTGGCTCTCGAGCCACAGTTTCCCGGTTTCCCGGCCACGGCCCTGGCAGTTTGTTTGGCTCAGGGGTTGGAGCCTCGGCCCTGCAGATGGAATGGCTGTGAGTTGGATTCAGGTGGGGGGCATGTGCCTCAGTTGTGGCTCCATCCTCAGCCTCGGTCGGGGCGCTTGCGGGAGGCAACCAGTCAATGTGTGTCTCTCAACAGCAGTGCTGCTCTCTCTGTCTCTCCCGCCCTACTCCCTAAAACCCGACGGGAGAAGTATCCTTGGATGGGGGTGAACAACAAAACGCTTCCCTCCTGGGCATGCTGGCCCGGGTGCCCTCCCTAAGGCACAGAGGGCAGTAGGCGCTCAGGAAGCACTCAGTGCGATACCACCCCGCGGGGGGGGGGGGGGAGGGGACCCCCGAGGGAAGGGTGTGGTTAGTCTCCCCACATGCAGCCGCGCCCTGTGCCTGCGTCCTTGCTCCCCCTGGGGAAATGGGAGAGAGGCTTCGTGGTGACCGTGCGGAAGGAGGCCACCCTGGGCCCCGGCTGGAACTCCTGCTGAAGGTGGGAGACCAGCACCGAGGTCACACGGAGCGTTTTATTTAAGAGAAAGGCGAGGGGCCTGCGCCTCCCTCCCCATAGGCCCTGACTTGTTTTGACATCAGCTGCAGGGCTTCCTGTGCGGCCAGGCAGGAGGTCCTGCTGCGGAGCCACCGGAGGCTGCGGTCAGAGGCCGCGGCTGGTGAGAGGGCGCTGGGGGAGGCCTGCGGTGGAGATGGGCCCAGCGAGGAGGGAGGGCGGCTCTGGGCTGCGGGGCCCCGCTGCTCTCTGGCCAGGCCGCTGAGCGGGTGTGTCTCGGGCCCAGGTTTACACTCACCTCAGACCTCCTGCCTGAGCTCCGCAGAGACCAGCAAGCCCCTTCCCTTCCTCTAATCTCCAGCCCTCCTCTTCCCTGGTGGGCACGTGGGGTTCACAGCCCTGAGCCCCCAGGGCTCGGGGTTAGAGTACCGGGCTGTGCCGGGCCCGCCTCCGATCCAAGTGCTGGCATCACGGGCAGTGCCCCCAGAACAGAGCCCAAGCTGGGCTCTTGTACCAAACAGGGACCCGAACCCCTCTGTCCAGAGGTAACTTCTCCAACAGCCTCTGAGATGGGGTCCCCTGCTCAGGCTTCAGCCTTCAAATGGGCAACCAGGTCCCAGCCTCGTGGTGGTGGTGGTGATGGTGGTGGTGGTGGTGGTGGTGGTGTGTCTGTCTTCCTGGGTCATCACTGTGCCAGCCTGTGCTACCCCCCACCCCTCAGGGGCAGGAGGGGCGCGATCTCGGGAGAAATGGCCCAAATTCCCACGCACACAGGCCAAATCCGGTCAGCTCCGCGCATGTTGGTTAGCCTCCCTCCGGAGGGAGAGGAAAGCGGGTCCCCCGGGGAGGTGGAGCGGGCCAGGGAGGATCAGTGGCCATGGGGCTGCACGGAGGGGCTCTGCTGTCATACGGGCTCGTGTCCATCCGGCACATCCCCCGCGGGCAGCGGGCACCCCGCCAGGGCTGGATGCTTGTCCCGTCCGGGGCCCTGGCCTCACGGCCCAGGCGGCAGGCCCCTCCGGAGAGAAGACATCCCCCCGGGAGCCAGAGGCAGGTCCTTGCTGCCCTGGACCCCGTCCCCAGCCCCCTTTGCCGGGCGAGGCTGGAGGTGGCCAGCTGGAGAACGGCTCCTGGCTCCCTCGCTGGATACTCTTAGACCAACTCAGAGGAAGACTCTTGTTTTCTTGTCCCTGGTCCCCCGACCCCCCGACCTGGCCCCACACTGGGAGGGAAGGAGGGTGAGGATGGCAGGGCCGGGGGCGGGCACGGCGGGGGCAGGGTGCGCCGTGCCAGGAGCCCCGATGGCAGGTGTCAGCCCCGGGCCGGCCTGTGCTACCCCCCACCCCTCAGGGGCAGGAGGGGCGCAGCCTCAGTCGTCCGTCGCCTCTGCGGAGTCCTCGTTCTTACTCTCCTCCGACTGCTCCTCCACCTGCGCCTCCGAGTGCTCCTCGGTCGTCGACTCCATGTGGTCTGATGACGCCAGCTGCCGCACCCAGCCCTCGTCCCGGGGCGCGGGCTGGCACGGCCCGGAGAGGGGGTTGAGCCAGTTCGGGGAGAAGCTCCCCCCGAAGGTCTCTGTGACGGCCTTCCAGGTGCCCCGGCGCTCCCTGGGCTGCTGCTTACGCTTGAGGCGCTCAATGCCCTGGGGAGACAGGGGGGTCAGCAGGGTCAGCAGGGCGTGAGGCTCCTCAAGGCTTACGGGGTGCAGCGGGGTGCGGGGGCACAGCAAGCAGGGCACTGGAGCTCAGCTTCCCACCCCCACCCCCACCCGCCCCTCCCTCCGCCTCCTGCCACAGGTGAGGGTGCCAGCCTGCAGGCCCGGGGCCTGGCTAAGGAGGGCCAGCTGTGCGCAGGGCCAGGCCCGGATTGGCCGGGAGGAACCAGGCTCCGCAAGCACTAGGCCCGCTATAAAGGGGCCACTCCCCACTACGGCAGGCAGAAGGCGCAGCAAACTTTGCATGAAGATGGCGGGATGAATTGGGAGGGGGGGTGCGTAGGGGACAAACGGCATGAGCTGAGGAAGCCGAGGTGCATGCCAGCGAGCATGCAGCGGGCAGCAGGGTGCACGGGGCACTGGGAGGCAGAGGCTGGTGGCCGCCTGCTCGTACCCCGCGGCCTCTCCCAAGCTGCCCACTCACCTGCCTCTGGGTGTGGGCTGCGGGCAGCCAGCAGGCCGCAGACAGGGTGTTGCGACAGGCAGGAGCCCGGAGAGCCAAAGGCGCCACCTGGCCAGCCCCCCAGGCCCACACCCTCACAGCGCCTGCCCGTGGGCCTCTGCCTTCCCATCTCTCCTGGAAGCCAGGGGGTTTGCTGCGGTTTGGCAGGCGTAGGCCCGGCACATGCCCGGCTTGTGGGCTTGATCCCCGGTGGGGGGTGGGCAGGAAGCAGCTGGTTGATGTTTCTCTCTCTCTCCCTCTCCCTCTCTCTCTAAAAATCCACTTAAAAATATTTTTTAAAGTATCTCCTCGTGAGATACTAATTACAAAAGGGCAAACCAACTTGATAGTCGGAACACGAGATTCCACCCTAACCAAGTGGAAGTTAGCGTCACCCCCACTCCTGTGCCCGTGGGTGGGCCCCCGGCCGCGGTGCTTCCTGCCAGCACAGCCTGTTTAATCACGGGAAACATGGGGGG